TTCACTCATATGTTTCGGGTGGTTAACCCAACAATGGTTATTAGCCAACAATGGTTATAAACCCTTATTTATTGATCAACTAATCGAACATAAACAGAGAAAGATAGTATTACAATTAATTTTTTCTATTCACTTAGAAAAACAAGAAATATTTCATTCAATTAATTATATACCTAACTTGTGTGAGCAACAAAATTTGTAGGAGATTACATACTGCATTAAACATAATAATTTCTTGGATCCCAGGAAGACCGAAAGAGTACACTCAGGTAGTAAGGGCAAAAGATAAGATACCCTTGAAGTCTTGGAAATTTCGATAGCCAAAAAGAAGAATTTGCCTATTTGTAAGTATTAGGTGGATTTTTCCGTGGAACCAGTGTTAAATTCTGTAGTTTAAGATGCATAAATTAAAGCTGTACATTTTGAAATTCAGTAATATTGTATACTCTTGATCATGTGTTAACCACCCGAAGCATATGTTGAGTTTTTAATATATTCAGTGAAAGTTATTCAGTTAAGTCAAGTGTGTTAATTTTTAATTTAATATATTTATAATATTTATAAAAGTATTTTCCAAACATACATAATGTAAAATTCGAAACTTTTCATGTTCCTTTAATTTTGTTCTACACAATAAGAAATGTTGATTAAAAATAAGTTGATTTGTTGAACTATTTCATCTGCCCTCACCAAGCCTTTCCTTGGTATTGCATATTTTATTATACATTATATTATACATTACATTTTTTAATGGTTATTCACAGTGTTGAGGTTTTCATTCATCAATTTGACAATCTGAAGAAAGATCCGAGTATTTCGAATATAAAAATGAATAAAGTGTTAATTTTTCAATTGAATGAGGAATTTGGGATGATTAATAAACATTTTTATCAACAAGTAACAAACAAAAAACATGCAAGTTCATTTCGCTTGATTAGTATGATTCATGTTATATCTAGTTTAAGCGCAGAGTGTTTGCGAAAACTGAATTCATGTTGACAAAATTAGTGAAATTACGATGAACATATGGTATGATTGAAAGTTACTTCAATTTCAACAGGTTGCTTAATACACTCTATAAAACAAAGCGTTCTAGAATACAAATTCGAACCTGGAATAAAATGGACAGATGAACGGAAGAACGGAGCATTCAGAGAGGATGAAGCGTTTTTGGGAAGCAAAAAAGATGAAGCAAAAGTCCTAGTTGCGAATTCAAGTTTAATCGCTATCCTCATAGGGAACAATCGTAATAATAATAATATATATAATCTATATATCTATAATAATCTATAATAAATAATCTATAATAAATAATAATATTATAATATATAATAATAAGATATATATTTTTTTATCCTTATAGGAAAGGCGACAAGTAAAAAACAAACTCTGACATTGGTCTAACAAAGAAGCAATTTCATCACAATGAATTATAATACCAATTACCAAAACTTCTGACCTAAAAATAAAGAAACGACAATTAATGATCATTCTTCAACTCGCTGATTTCTTTCTCACAATCTTATTTAATTTTATAATTGAATGCATATAAATCTCTTATCTCAAATCTTATTCTCCCTTTTTCTAACAGTTATTTTCATACATTCGTTTTGCCAACGATAACAATACCAATAATTCATATTGAAGAAAATACTTTTTATTCATTTATCTACATATATATATATATATATATATATATATATATATATATATATGAACACTGTCGGCTTATTGGCTCCCCTTAGAACAGCGTAGCCAAGTTCAAGTTTTACAGATGAAGAAACACAAGAAAAGCAAGAAATACAGACAACCTCTGAAGGAGGTAGCCACATTTTAGGCTACCGTGTTTGTACTATCCGGATTGGGAGATTTGGAAAACGACTTCGCCCGTGAAATGACTACTTATCCTTCAAGGATGCTCTTAGCCGAGACGTTGAACCAAGTATGAATAATGTTTGATGCGGAAGAAAATATAAGCGAGAGTGAACTTCCGCAAATTGGTAGCAGCCGTTGACGCGTGTTTTGAGCTTATAGGCTCTCCTCAGAACTGCGTAGCCAAGTTCAAGTTTTACGAACCTGGAGATGAAAATACAAGAAAACTAAGAAATACAGACAACCTCAAGGAAGTCGTCACAATTTGAGGGATATGCCGACAATGTTCACTTTCGTTTAAATTTTCTTCTGCATCAAAAAATATTTATATATATATATATATATATATATATATATATATATATATATATATATATATATATATATATATATATATATATATATATATATATATATATATATATATATATATATATATATATATATATATATATATATATATATATATATATATATATATCTGTAATGGTTAAGGAATTCGACTGATACTACTGATTTTCATACTCTTTATTCCATGCCTAGCTTTCGGAAACTCGTTGGTTCCATCTTCAGGGCCACTACAACCAAGTTTACATTAGCATTTCATATAGATGTTAATATGAATTCTTACAGAATGCGAGGTTTTCAGTTTGTGAGTTGTGATGCATGAACTGTAAAAATTCTTCTACCTATTGTTTACATTTACTGTTTTCCTACTAACAATCAATATACAAACAACAATGTACTTCCACAATTTTTATAACCAATTAAGATCTTTTCTTTCTCTTCCTTAATTCTAACTTCTCGAAGGTATCACAGTTAAAATGAATTTATGGTTAGGTTCAATCAATGATAACGACAATTTCAACTTTGTTCTATGGCTGTGTCGTCCAAGGTGTCTTTTTTTTTCCGGCACTGAAGGAATTTTGACTGTGTCTGATAGATGGCGCTATTCATCCAGGGGTCCATCGAAGGAGTAGTTAGTTTTGTTTGGATATGTTAAAAGATAGGTATAAACATTGCTCAATCCTTGTGTGTCGTTCTTTCTGTTTATTGGGTTTGTCTGCCTTCTGATATTTATCAATTCTAGGATCAATCTTTTGTTGTAATTGCCATTCACCTCCAATATTTCAGTACTTTCGAAATCTATTTTATGGTTTTTTTCCAGTGAGTGTTTCGAAAAAAACACTCACAAAAATAGATTTCGAAAGTACTGAAATATTGGAGGTGAATGGCAAATACAACAAAAGATTGATCCTAGAAATGATAAATATCAGAAGGCAGACAAACCCAATAAACAGAAAGAACGACACACAAGGATTGAGCAATGTTTATATCTATCTTTTAACATATCCAAACAAAACAAACTACTCCTTCGATGGACCCCTGGATGAATAGTGCCATATATCAGACACAGTCAAAATTCCTTCAGTGCCGGAAAAAGAAAAAGACACCTTGGACGACACAGCCATAGAACAAAGTTGAAATTGTCGTTATCATTGATTGAACCTAACCATAAATTCATTTTAACTGTGATACCTTCGAGAAGTTAGAATTAAGGAAGAGAAAGAAAAGATCTTAATTGGTTATAAAAATTGTGGAAGTACATTGTTGTTTGTATATTGATTGTTAGTAGGAAAACAGTATATGTAAACAATAGGTAGAAGAATTTTTACAGTTCATGCATCACACCTCACAAACTGAAAACCTCGCATTCTGTAAGAATTCATATTAACATCTATATGAAATGCTAATGTAAACTTGCTTGTAGTGGCCCTGAAGATGGAACCAACGAGTTTCCGAAAGCTAGGCATGGAATAAAGAGTATGAAAGTCAGTAGTATCAATCGAATTCCCTTAACCATTACAGAAATATAAAAACAACGACTGTGGTTTGAAATTGTAAATATATATATATATATATATATATATATATATATATATATATATATATATATATATATATATATAGAGGATATTGAATCTAGTGAAAAATGACTTAGTGTCTTAACAGCATGGTATAACAATAGGTTTCAGATTAATGGATTTCAGATTAAATATGATTGAGAAGCTTTGAGAATTAATTTTAAACGTACAACCCTCGTACCAGATATATCAAATTACAGGGCTGCATCACTGATTCAAACGGATCCACATGCTTACAATTTAATTGGAAGTTATTACCTTCAAACCATAATTGAACTATCAACATATCAGAAACACTAGCTCGAAGCTGAAATTATATAAATATTTGAATCGGTCTGTCATGAGTACGCCTTTATCATTAACTTCGAACTCAAATCGAATTCTTGTTTTTGATACCCTGAATATAAAACGTTACATCTTCTGTCGAACGGTTACACTGAGCATGAGGCAGTACCACGGCCAACTTGGAAATGAAGTTGGCTGTGACAGTGCTTCAACAACGCTTAGAAAACCAAATGTAACAGTTTTCAGGCTTTTTCCGGAACTACCTTGAAGCTATAGTGTAGAATAACTTGAAACTTCATTAATGTTTCAATTTCCGAATTCAAGGCATTGTGTATGGAGTATTACTAAACAAATGAACATGACTTGAATTGAATTAATCGAAATGTTAACGGTATCCAAGATCAGAGAATACACAATTTCACCTAGTATTACAAATTATTCGTATGAGTGACTATTACATGAAATTTTACCTGATAAAATATTAAATTTTCAATGCCTCATTTATGACATTTTGCAAACTCGGGCGCTGTTCGTCGACATCACACTTAAAAACTGTCGATCTCACATAAGACACGAATTTTTGTGAAAATAATCTTTGCAATATTTAATTTTGAAATAATTTTGACTTAATGTGATCATGAATAATTTATTATTGTTCAAATTGTTAGTAAAAAAACTTCAGTACCCAATACAAAAATTAAATTTTCAATAAAATCACTCCAATAAAGTATTAAATCTTGCCGATATACAGGGTGTTTTGAAACGAATTACATAAAATGAAGTAAATATTTTTTTTTTTTTTTTATTCAGTGGACCTACAGTTAAACGCCGGTTCGGAACGGCCATCTAATCAATGTACATTACCTAGCATATATCATTCATTAAACTACTTAAGTCATAAACAAAAACAAACACCCATGACTTCAGCGGGACTCGAACCCATATTCTACCGCACCAGAGTTGGGTGTTCTACCGACTAAACTACGGAGACCAGCGTCTTTTCATTTAATAAAGTCCAATATTTTTCGGTGAAACTTCACGAATTATTTAAGAAATTTAGGATATTTGAAATAGAGTTGGATACTTGAATATCACTTAGAGACATGCAATTGGATGAAAGCGAAATAAAATTGAACTTCCAAACATAAAATATTTGAATCGTTACTTGTAAAATATCCCTTAAAATACTAATCTGACGCATTGGTACAATAGAACGATAAATGAAGTGGAAGTGAAGAAAACTTCTAAAAAAATGTTGAAATGAATATATAGTTACTGTCGGGGATTTTGAGGGGGGAAAAAGAAGCCATTCCTAAAGCACGCCTCTGGTAATAGAGGAAAACTATCTTTCAACAATTATTACAGTATCCTCACATGAATAAACTGTAAAACATAAAAAGGCGTTGAAACGATTGGATAAAATGTTTACAAAATATTTGCAATATAATAATACTCTGTATCTCCCGAAGGAGCAATATTTTATTTCAGCGAATCTTTTCGTATTTTGTGCCAAACTTTGTACAATATGAGCAAAATACCCGTTATATGTTTACATGAACATTAAAACAAAAATAAAGTAACATAAATTAAATATAGGTAAAATTTCAATATTACACTATATGTAAAACAAATTACATTTTCGTTGAATTTTCGAGATTCTTACTAGTAATATAATATAACTACTTCGGTATACTTAGGTGGAAATAGGATCGCCATACAAACGTCGTTTAAACTAGTAGGGATATTGTCATTGTCATTCGATGGAAGAAAACGTAGCACAGAATAGTATCACTGTTCTGTGATCACATTAGCACGCCCCACCAGCATCTGTCAACATATAAATGGAATAATACCAACATACAATCTCATTCTTCTCTCAGAGCTCTTCTCTGACTGTCATTTCATGTTCAACAATCTGTCACTCCCGCTTCCATCAAATAACAACAACAACAACCACGTGTTCAATAGTTCGCTCTTAGTAAATAATGATAAATATAAATTCTCAATACAAGTGTGGTTTAATATTTCCACACATAGAATATTATAGCACAAGCGCTATAAGCTTGTTGGCTCTGATCAGAAGTCGAAGAAAAGTTGTAGATAACCGAAGATGGAACAAACTAACGTGAACCTTGCACAGTATGAGATCTCGATTGTGGTTACTGCATGTGCTCTTAGGATTGGGGGGTTTGATTTTCCTTTCAACTCTAAGGCAAGTGATTTCCTTTACGGAAAATTGCAATGATAATATTAATAAACAGCAGGACAGTTTATCGGGAGAGAAATCATCAAACCAAATGGAGAAACTGCCGTAACTCCTGCATTAGGAAACAGGCGTACATGGGTTTTGACTTTCACGAAGAGAAACTATAAGTTGTCCCATTTATATCAAATATTAGAGAAATTTTGCTCTACGGGGGTCCTTTCTAAGTAGTCGAAACAATAGCGACGGTAACTATAGCGAATAGACCAAATGCCGAGTGATATTATGAAAATATAAAAGTTGGTGAATTGATATTAATATTTAATATTAAGTGACTACACACATAAGTGGATCTGTATTGCCAAGCAAATCGTGTCGTGCGTGGATGCATTATTTCATTGAATTGGATCATTGTATAACCTTGCAAGTTTACTTTTCATTTATGTCGATGCACAACTATTGATACCGTTAACTGAAGGTCTGCTCTCGCTTTCGCATGTTATTGACATGAAAGTAAAAGTCCTTGGCAATGATTGGATTGTTGTGATTCGAGTTCACTGGCACCAAATATGTTCATTGACAACGAATTTATTTTACAGGGTTTCCCAAAGTATGGAACGAATTGGATAATTTAGGAAAAAATAATGATTTTATAAATCTAACAGGAAAATACACAATATATCTTCAATTGCTTTGCAGAAGACTCATAATTAATATTATGAGTCTTGTGCAAACACTTCCGGTTTTTCCCACAAATTTCAATTCAAAGTAGATTCTCGTTGGTGTACGAAGTGTATGTGTATAGTAGTTGTTGATATCAATCCTTCATATTAGCATACATTCATTCATTGGAGATTTTCACAAACTATATTATAAATTGATTTCAAATGTGATCTTCTATTTTTATTACATGTGTTGAAAAGATGAGTTTCCATTTTTTGAATATTCGACGTTTTCGAAAACTTCCATTCGTTTCCGTTTCGAAACCACAACTAAATACAAGCTTGTGAGATAACGTAATAAGCAACTTCAATGTTATTTTGATCGCAAAATTCAGAAAAATGCCATAAATCTGGAATAAGTTGAATGCACGAAACCAAACTGAAATAAAATCACGACAAATGAAAATCACACATAAATTCAATTAGCTAAAGCGATTAATGTGTGAATAAATTCTAGAAATGATTCAGTTTTCCGAAAATTCAGGAAAACTATAATAGTACAAACACTAAACCCAATCTTGAAGATCTTAGAAATATCATTTGAAATTTATCATCAATCATATATTCAGAGATTCACGAATCATTCAAACTTAGTCTATACTGAGACTCTTAATCGAAATATTTCTAATAAATCCCCCCGGGAGCTGTCTACACAAATGTTGTCCAAGAGTGAAAATTCAGTTGGCTTCGAAATTGTTTCATTCTTATTAGGAATCATCAGTCTTATTCAATCAATCAAGAAGAATTAATTTTTTTTATTTTCTATAAATAGAATCCATAGATAAATATATAGATAGAATTTTTAGATACATATAGATATAATCTATAGATTCTAATAATAATCTAACAATAATCAAAGAACATGTACCAGTTTAACATATAGTAAAACTAATTCAAGTTATTCAGTAATAAGTCAATCGAGTAACTCGAAAGTACTGAAATGAATCGGAAAATTATACTTTCGATTCAAATTTCAGAATTTCATGCAATATTCAAAAATGATAAAAGTGGAAAATAGTGGACATTAAAGAACTTGATAATTGGAAGAATTTGCTTAGTGAACAATTGGAATTGAATAACTGACCACGTCTTTAGCAAAAGAACTTATATTTTAGTAAGATAGGCCTATGAGAATAATTTGATAAAACCTCCTGTTTGTTCATAAATGCATGTACTTATAAATAAGTGCTATTAAATTATTTAACGTAAGCATCTGAAGAATTCGTCAACCCGAAGGAACGCCTGAAGGAACAATGCAAGTGTAAATCGAAAAATTCAAGTGTTTGAATTCATTTCATAGGTGCATATTTTTATGCTGTTGAGTAAGAAAAGTTTTCAAATTTAAAAATCTATTACTGTATATTAACATATATTCCACTTTTGTTTAACAAAATGGAAATAATAAAAGTTCTCATTTTATTATTGGGAATGCAAATAAACAGGTAGTGCCCTGTAAGCCCGCAAAGGTTTTGCTAGAGCACGAATTATATTTGCTCAAACAAAATGATAGTAATTTGAAGTAACTTTCCTTCTCAACCTAAAAGCACCATTATAGAACACAGAAAATTGTTCAATTTATATCCTCGATATTCAAGAAATAACCAATTTCCGTGGAAATACTGTGCAAATATAAATATACTGATTCAAGAATTCAGTCTGATAAAATTCCAGACGTTAGTAAGTAACCTGTATATTTTTGTTGTTTAGTGAAACAGAAATCTGTGGATTCTCGATTGTAACTGAGATATACAACAACAGATGGCAGACTTATCGAAGCAACTCTTTTAATCGTAATCTGTATAGTAGGTTAGAATGCTTCTTTTCCGTTTACTAAGCGCGTGTTTTTAGTTGCATGATAAAATATCGAAATCCGGCGAATGTATTTAATCGTTTTATACCGCCATCTATACTGAGAGCTTACGAAACAATATATTTCCAATTTTTGGCGAATAGGCATCTGTTACCTTCTTTCGTGATAGTTTAGTGAAATCTAAGAGAGGACGGATGTGTTCATTTCAAATCTGTAATATTTAATAAAAGAAAGTATTGTTTCAAGTCTTTTATCCTTTTTCTGTCATACTAAACTCGTATAAGGCTACTTGAGTTTGCTGGAAGCTTCGAATTTCACGCTTATTTGCGCATGCTGGAACTTCTTGCAATTAACACTAATAAGATACTCAAAGATATAAGATAAGATATAACTATAAAACATACTCAATCGTTCAAAATTGTAATTTTGAATATTGTTTCATTAAAAATTTGCATTATGGTAGACAACTAAAAATATATAGGAGGGAAAGTCAATCAAGAATGAAATTCATATATCGATACGAAAAAGTGATACTAAGATAGAAATCGTTGATACTTGGAGATATCAACCACGTACGTAAACGCATATCTCAATTATGGTTCAAGCAAATAGTCTTTCATCTAATTGCTTTGATATTACTGCAGAAAAAAATAGTGCAAAGCTGCTTGGCGTAACACTAGATAGCAAACTTAGTTGGAAAGACCATATTTAACAACTGAAAAAAAAACTTTCTGGTACTCTATTTTTGCTTAGACGAATGAGAACTATAACGAGCATTACCATTAAGAATTATATACTTCTATCTTTTCCATTCATTTTTGAGTTGTAGAGTTGTTCTGTGAGCAAATTATGCCAATACCTTTACAGTTTTCAGGTTGCAGAAAAAGGCAATTCGAATAATGGACGGCGATGGTTACTTGGATTCATACAGACCATTATTTATAAAATATGAAATTATGTCTTTGCCCACATTGTGGATATATAACGTCTTTTTAGGAACACATAGGGATGTAGATACTGTAGATATTGATTATAATTTATACAATATCTTACATTCCCATTTCAAAGAGCTTTCTTTCAATGAATTCAAAATAGACATCAGGAAATATCTTCTGAGATTTTGCTTCTATTTAGTCAGCGAGTATTCGAAGCACTTCAAGGCAATGTCTTTGTAATGAACATGCTCACCACATCTTATTATGTGCTACTTTTTATATTTTATTTTTTGTGCATTATATGTATTCTTTATCCAGTTTT